GTATTGGACTATGTACATATATTTATATAGCAATACATTGAGGTAGTGGACGGACTATGGGACTCTGCTCAAGCTCTCCCTCAACGCAAGAACACTTTGTTCTAACAACCTGGCATTCTGTGATGCTCACCTTCCCAGCATGATCACTGAAGACAAAATGAGTGCACAAGCAAATGTGGTGAAGAAAGCTGATGGTGTTCGACTATCAAAAGATATAGTGTCTGGGGTCTTAAAAACTTGACGTTAAACAAGTGGCCATCTTGCAGAGAAGCAACAGCCCACAAGGAAGAAACACACCAGCCTGTGGGACATGAGGTGTCGACGGGATCAGGTAACAAACAGGCATCAGAAGACTCAAAACAAACAGACAAACATTGTTGAGAACAACAGGGGTCAGAGCAGACTCAAGACCTATATGTAGACAATGGGACATCTCTTCACGGAAGCGTCATGAGGAAGGGATGAGTCAACCAGAGCGCAGTATAGCACCAATGAAACGCACAGTATTCCTCTGGTTCCTTGAGGCTTCCTTACCGCCCCCCTCTTCTTCCCCCCATCATGACTCCAGTCCAGTCAGTTCTGGCTAGACCGTAGCATGTACACTGGTACAGATAAGAACTCACAACACATGGAATCCAGGGCAGATAAACCCCTCAGGAACAGAAACGAGAACAGTGATAGGGGGTAGAGGGAAGGTGGGAAGAAGAGGGGAGAAAGGGAGAACCAATTGCAGTGATCGAGACACACACACACACCCCTCCCCAGGGTGTGTCAGTCTGGGTTGACTAGAGAAATTCAGACACTTGTGTATAAGAAAGAGCTTTATATACAAGAGCAATTGAATAGTGAGAAAACATCCCAGCCAAGATGTCCAGACATCCCAGCCAAGATGTCCAAAACATCCCAGCCAGATCAAGTCCATAAATCCAATATTAGCCCATATGCCCGATACCAATCTATAAATTCCTCTTCAGACTCACGAAACACATGCAATGATGATCACAGGTCAGTGGGTGGAACGCTTGCAGGATGATCACAGGTCAATGGGTGGAAGGCTTGTGGATCCAGTGGTGGTAGAAACAGCGCTGGCGTGGGTCTTCATGTGGCTCGTTCAGCTCCAGGACTCTAGCCTAGCTCCCCGTGTCTTGTCTGCAAGAATGTCTCGCAGGGAATGAGTGTCCCACTTCCAGCGAGCTCTTTTATCTCCTTATCACCTCCAAATGAGGTCATCAAGCTGCCACCTTATTGACAGGCTAAACTACACCCCTTCACTCTTAAGTCTCAAATTGACAACAGATTGAAAATAATAATAATTTATAATTTATCAAGGGTTCACGAGAGTTGGGGGTAAGGGGAAAAGAGGAACTGATACCAAGGGTTCAAGTAGAAAGTAAATGTTTAGAAAATAATGATGGCAACATAAGTACAAATGTGTTTGATACAATTGATGTGTGGATTGTTATAAAAGTTGTAAGATCCCCCAATAAAATGACCTTGAAAAAAACAAACAGCATTTTAGGTTACTTTTGGTTAGCCTCTCATTAGTCCTGAACTAAGGTTGTCTGATCTAGTAAACTCTCAGCTCTAGATCCTATTTCAGTTTACCTGTGGGCTTAATCACCTCATAAGGAGGGCTTAGTTTTGTGTCAGGAAATTAGTATTCCATTCCTTATCCTTAAACTTTTGAATTCTGAGCATTTTATAAAACATGTATGAGCCATTAATTGTAGGCTCAATGTAGTGAATTGAAAGACCTATCGCCAGATAGCACCTTTTCTAAGCACCCACTGAATGTAGGGCTCTTTCAGATATGGGTTAATCAATTAGATGTGGGAGTGCTGGGAAAATCTTCCTTCTCCTTTAAGAATATCAGTCCCGTCCTGTTCCCCGTGCACCGCCCCCAATTCAATTTTCAGCCAAATAACAGGCTGGTCTATAAGGTGAACAGTAACACTAGCGAGGTGCTTCCTCCTTAGAATCATCAACCATTGAGGGCAAAGGGCAGCATTTTCCCAAGGACAAAGTTCAGAAAACAGGAAGGATTAAGATAGAGGTGACTTAGGAACAATAATGGGAGTAGCAAAACCATGAGGGTACGGGGAACGTGGGGGGAGAAGCGGGGAACTGCGTATATTGTTAAGTACAATGATCTATAACACCTCTCCACCTCAGGGTGACAACAGAAACCTGGGTAAAGGGAGACAGTGGACAGTGTAAGATATGAAAATAATAGTAATTTATAATTTATCAAGGGTTCATGAGGGTGGGTGGAAGAAATGAGCTGATTACCAAGGGCTCAAGTAGAAAGAAAATGTTTTGAAAAGGATAATGCAACATACGTACAAATATGCTTGACACAATAAATGGTATGGATTGTTAGAAGAGCTGTAAGAGCCCCCAATAAAATGATTTTTTTAAAAAGCGAACTAGAAATAGGAAACACAGGAGGAAGTGGGGAAAGTGATGTTACATTTTTGAGATTGCAAACGCTGTTTGAATTGTTGAATGGGAAATTAATTTGCTCTATAAGTCTTCACTGAATTTACAATAAAATCTTTAAACAAAACTGGATCAGCGATTTTATTATCTGTAATCTGTGGACCATAGAATTCGACAGAGGTGTTCCAAAGGCTAGAAATAAAATAGAAGAAAAGGCCAACCCGGAGTGAGGTTGTGTGCTAGTAGAGCCATGGTTGGAGGGTAAATGCTGATGAGTGGATTATGATGTAATCCTCAAGCTGTGACTACCCGAATAGTGACTGTCTTGGGTCTGTAAGACTTATTTTACCCTGCCACCCTCTGCCTTTCTTTAATAGCTCACAAGCTGCCATGCTTTAATTCTGCATCTCAAAGGAATTGTGCCACATTGCTGTTTGTTATAAAAAAAAGTTTTTTAATTGTGATGGTTTACTACATTAACATAGTTCTTACTTGTAACAAAATGATAAGCTCAATTCCTACTCTTAGCAACTCTGTCTGTATAGGGTTGCTGAGACTGTAAATCTTTCTTTTTTTCTTTTAAGAGGCTGCAAATCTTGATGGAGGTAGAAGCCTTGTCTCTTCGCTAGAGGGGCTGGTTGGTTTGACCTGCCAGTCTTGAAGTTAGCAATCCAAGGCTTACTGTACAGCACCACTAGGCCTCTCGTGATGTAGAAATGTAACTGAAGGTTCTTGGATTTCCTTTGCACTGTTCCTATGCCCCAGCCTATGCAGATTTAGAGAATCACTTTGATTGGCCCTATCTTTCTAAAGGCACTTAGTGTAATTAAAAAGAAAAGTCACACAGTATTGAAAGCACTCGGCTGTTAACCCAGTGATCAGTAGTTCAAATCCACCAGCCGCTCATTTAAGGTTACTGTGTCAACATAAGGAGCCTTGATGACGTAGTAGTAGTTATGCAGAGGACTGGGATCACCAGATCAGCAGTTCGAAACCTCTAACGGCTCCTCGGGAGAAAGTTACTCCTGTAAAGTTAGTCTCCGAAACCCCCAGGGGTTGTTTCTACCCTGACCTATAGGGTCATCATGAGTTGGAATTGACTCAAAGGCAGTGAGTAAGTGAGTCAACATTGATTTGATAGTGATGGGTTTGGTTTGGATTTGGGTCCTACACGGGAGATTGGATACCACACTCATGCATGCGGTCTAGCTTGCTTATTATTCACTAGATAGTGCATCCTGGTGGTCTGTCCATTTCAGTACATAGAGTGTAGGCTCCAAACATGTAGCATTCACAGCACCCTTAGTGTCAGCGTAACTTTTTCAGTCTCCCTAGGCCCATAGAATTGAATTAGACTGCATGGCAGTAAGTCTATCTTATTAGCCCAAAGAAATACATAATAGTTTAGTATAATAGGTACCCTATATACTCGAGTATAAGCCGAGTTTTCCAGCACATTTTTAATGCAGATATTCAGGTTGGCTTATACTCGAGTATTTACAGTAGTTAGTTCCAAGCAATAAGCAGTTATATCTTAACAACTAATGAACATTTGAAAGAATGATATACTTAGGTTGAAAGAAAAAGGTCGCTATTTTTTTTTTCCAATAGTAACTACAATCCCTTTTCCATGAGCTGTATGCATGTGGATCGGTTCAGTGTGCTGAACAAGGCCTCAAACCTGGGGGTTAGAGGAGACACCACCACTGAAATTCCTGTTCTGCATCCCTCCTGGCTTGAGATGTATACCATTTTCAATGGGAATACTTAGAAGTTGTTAACTACCAACCAATTTTTTGAGGTCCAGTCTGTTGCCAAATTTGGGTCCATTTGCCCGAGATGCTGCTGGAATGAAATTGCATTGGGTTGCAGGAACTTTTCGGTAACTCCATTCCTGCAGCTACAGAGGCGAGGAAAAGAGCCCGTCTCAGAGACCTGCCGCGTCCCACTGCTTCTGCGGTGCTCAGATGGTTTTCTTTCTTTTCCCTTAACCTTTCTGGCACCGAGTCCTTGATGGGAAGGTGGTGGCTTCCGCTCACTCAGCTGCAGCTTCTGGAGCTTGGAGCAGCCCCGCTGCTGCCTGCTGCTCCAATTACCCCCTGCTGCTTTCTTCTTCTTCCTCTTCCTTGTCTTATTGCTTCCTCTCTTTCCCTTCCCTCCACCTCCTCCTCCTCCTCCCTCATGCTTCCTCTACTTCTCCTTGTGAGCCAACTCTTACCTGGTGAGCTCAGTCCTCTTACATACAAATTTGAAGGGCCACGAAGAGCAGTACAGAGATATGAAACAATCCGAAAATGATGTTCCTGGGAAAGGATTAGTTGAAGTAGGAATGAATGTTTGGAAATGGAGGTTCAAGTAATAAACAGCAGCAGCAGAAACAATCACATCTTCAGTCCATCTGCTTTATAGCTGACAATGTTACTTTCAGATAAAGGATTTCACTTAATCCTTAAACAACCACGTGAGGTCGGCTTTGCCATCCCAGTTGTACAGGGGAAGATCTGGGGACGGGGAAGGAAAACGGATATTTTTGAGTTTGCACTGTGTTTGGGTACCAGTCAGAACTGTCAGTGACTTCCCCAGGACCGTGTAAGGAGGAAGAGGTGAATGGATTTGATGGTGGGCCATTTAATACACTTCGTAGATGGATACATGTTGAATGGTGACACTGGAGGATGTTCTGTGCCGGGGACACCCCTGAATATTTTCTTTTTTTTCTCCCTAGCATCTGCCACAAGCCTCAGTGGTTCTGACAGCGAAACAGAGGGGAAGCCACACAGCTCTGACTCTTTAGACGATGCTTTCAAAGCAGACTCCCTCGTGGAGGGGACGTCCTCTCGTTACTCCATGTATAACAGTGTCTCCCAGAAGCTTATGGTAGGTCTGTGTTTGGGTTCGGTCTCTAAAGCTCTGTCAGCAGAGTGAGAGAAGGGAAATCTGTACTGGTGTGAAGAGAAGAAAAGCTAGGGCACGAGTGTTTCCTCTGGCTTCCAGCCACTGAAATTCAATGAAGAGCCCTCTTCTTGACAGCAACAACGGTCACCTTTGAATTGCCCATGGGAAATGACCACTCAAGCCTGCTTCTCCTGGCCTTTCCAGGGCTGGCTCACTTTTTGATCCCTTTAGTAATGGATTCTCATGAGGAATGTATCCCTGTATTTCATGCAACAGTGAGTAATTGCCAACGAGGTGGCTGAACTCCGACTACTCACTCTCGGGCACTTCCACGAGAAGGGCATAGCCTTCCCTTCCCAAAAGGAGGCCACGTTTCTCTCTCCCAGCTTCCGTGCCCCATTGATATTCCGGGAGACGAAGGTGACTAATAGGACCTGCTCACTTCCTCTTCACCTTTTAGGGTCTGTGGAAAGACTAGGGAACGCCAAGCTAGCTGCCCATCAAGCACCAGACAAAGGATAGCTGGCTCCTCCGTTTTCCCTTGGATTTAATGAAGACGAGAACTGCCACTTCTGAAGTCACAGTTAGGGTGCTCGTTGGCAAGCCACAAGCTTTGAGGGATGGCAGGTGAGGCTGCTTACTCAGTCAGCCTCTCAGACCTGGCTTTCTGTAGGGGTCCGGCTGACTTTTGAGCTGGGAATGGCTTTCCAAAGGGAAGACAGCCTCTCCGGAGAGAATTCGGTCTTCTCAGCTCATTACTAGGGTCTGTGGCCTTAGGGAGCTGGGCCCACTGGCTCTGGAGCTTAGTGTAAATTTAAACACAGTTGTGACAGGATCATTCTCATAGTAAACCTTCCATACCACAGTTTTACAAGAAGCGCATTTTCAACTAATTGCTTGATTAAGTGGGTGCCTACAAGCCCTCATTGTCCTTGCCTAGAAGGCTGTTTGTTGATCTGAGGGTCAGTTAGAAGCCGCCCCTTGCAGCAGTTCTGTTTTAAATTACGTTCTTTATCAACTCTTTACTGTAGATCTCCCTCTCACTTAATCAGCTGGGAAGGTGGTTGTCCAAATGTCCGATGAGATTCCTTAAGCACTCCTGGTGCTTTTAATTATAGCTATGGGGTCCTTGCTCATTTATCCCACTTTAGGTTGCTCTAGACGTTTCCCTCCAAAGTAGTAGCTGCTGGGCCCATAATTCTACTGCATTCTCAGTTATGTATGCTGCTTTCCTTCATTAGGCTAGAAGGCACATTTTATCCATCTACCTTTCTCAGCGTTTCGGGCACTTGGTAAGAGACGAAATGATTGTTGAACTGAGTTAACGGTGTTCCATTATTTCTCTTTGCCAGGCCAAGATGGGCTTCAGGGAAGGTGAAGGACTGGGTAAATACAGCCAGGGCCGCAAGGACATTGTTGAGGCCTCTAATCAGAAAGGTCGAAGAGGCTTGGGTCTGACGCTGCGGGGGTTTGACCAAGAGCTTAACGTGGACTGGAAAGATGAACCGGAGGTAACTGCGGGTGTGGGGAGCCGGAAGCCGATTGTGTTACTCAACTAGAAAGCTCCAGAGGCCGTTTGGTCAGGGTGGCTAGAGAGGATTGGAAGTAATTTCTTCCATGGACGTTACTGGGATATCCAGAATGGAAAAGACTGGGGTTGGGGCTTGGGGTTCGATAGCAGTCCAGTTACTTCCTGTTGCTTTAGAGCAGGCATCCTCAAACTATGGCCCGTGGGGCACATGTGACCCGCCGAGGACATTTATCTGGCCCACCGGGTGTTTTTGCCCCATTTGTTTTTTTACTCTAAAATAAGATATGTGCAGTATACATAGAATTTGTTCATGGTTTTTTTTAAAACTATAGTCCGGCCCTCCAACGGGTCTGAGGGACAGTGAACTGGCCCCTTGTTTAAAAAGTTTGAGGACCCTGCTTTAGAGGGCTGAGGCAGGTGGGTAGAAGGTGCTAGGAGGAGGAATTTGCCTTCACAAAGAACACTCATGAATACATACAGCTCTCTACTCATGGACTGAAATGCTGCCCGTGGCGCTGAGTGCCTCTCCTGAAGGAATTTAGGTGGGCTGCCTGAGGACCCTGGTGTCTGTGCGGAGTGAGCCCTGGTGGTGGGTGGCTGCTCTCTGCCGGTCAGCAGTTTGAACCTATGTTGGTCCTCAGGAGAAGTTGAGGCAGTACGCTCTTGCAAAGATCCACAGCCTCAGAAACCCAAGGGAGCGCTTCTCTGTTCTGTAGAGTCGCTGTGAGCAAGGATCCACTGGATGGCAGTGGGTTCGGTTTTGGAAGGACTTTGCATCTCCGTGGGCTGATGGCATGCAGGTTCTATAACCATGCAGCTTTGCTCCAGGGGGTGTAGTCTGCTTATCTGTTTGGGGACCAGTTCTCTTTCACCCTGAAGGCCAAAAGATCAAAACCCATTGCTGTCCAGTCGATTGTGACTCATAGCAACCAAAAGAGACAAAAGAGAATCTGCCCTATGGATTTCCATGCTGTCACTTTTAAAACAGAAGCAGACTGCCCCATCTTTCTCCTAATTAACCGAACACTCAAACCACTGAGCCACCAGGGCTGCTTTTGAAGACCGAAAGAGGACCTTTGTTTTCCGTTTTCATTGCACAGATATTGTTGAGCTCTTATTTTTATCCATTTACTCATGTCCACCTTATTCCACAGCGAGTTTGAAGTAGGTATAACAAAGCACCTACAAAATACCAGCGAAATTCTGCCATTTCAGAGCCAGGACGACAGCAAGCAGAGCACACGTCTAGCTTTCTAAGTCACTGCTAGAGTTGAGCTTCAGATGAGGCTCTGAATGCTGGAGCATTGGTATTGTATTTGTTTTCCGAATGTTCCAGTTCCAGGCCACCTGCACATGATAAAAGTCTAGTAAGGCATCAGGGTCAGATGCTGACAAGGCGGAGCTGATGGGCTCTGGGGATTGTGAGCCGATGAGAACAGCAGAATAGCACGCCGGACCATTCAGCATTGGGACAGCTCCAATGGGTTGCTTGATGTAGGCTTTCACCCTAGACATTCAGGGGTTTTCCTGGGACCCTGTTGAAGTGAACACAACTGAAAAGCCCCAGTCCCTTCAGTGGACGAGCCAGGATCGACTCCACGGCTGTGAGTTTTGAGTTTCTGCCAAACTTTGAATCTGAAGCTCACCAGGAAAATCTATTTTTAATGGAGACAAACTTCTGAAATTCCTTTTTTGGGGTTGGAGACCCTCCTGGCTACCACTTAACATAATTCCATCTCCACCTCCACCTCCACCCTCCACTCCAAGAACAGATGCCCTATCTTTTGCTGAAGCATTTGGCCTGGGTTTCAGCAGGTCGTTGCTGTGGGTGGAAGTATCTAGCTTCCAGAGCTCCCTCAGAAAGATGTTCAGTGACCGCTGGGGGACTCTTCAGTCCAAGTCCACTCTGCTGGTAGGCCTCGTGGCTGGTGTCCAAGAGGGTAGCAATTCTGTTTTTTCCCTTTTTTTAGAGGGACATCCAAAGTGGCTGTGGGCTTCTTTCCTAGAGTTGATAATTCAACCCCATTTATGCTTAAAGCCAGTGCATTTGATCAGGCATGACTCACCGCCAAATTCACTAACAAAAGGCTTCAGTCAGTTTTGCTTGAAACTTTTTCTCTGTTGATGGCCGTTGGCTTCCCCTCAAGACCTTGCGTTGTGATACCATTTTATGCCTTTCAGAGCATATAATATCATCTTTAATCGCATTGCTTCTATTTGCAATGGTGAATCTCTTCTCCACACTTGGCTTGGGAAGGAGGCTCTGTGTGCAGCGGCCGTGCAGGTTAGTCACCTGTTTAGGCTTTAGAATTCACATTTCTCGGAGCCCAATGATTTTTATCCCTTGTAGCACATTAGAACCATCTGGGGGACTTTTAACAAGGTATTCATGCCCAGTCCCCACCTCAGTCCTATCCAGAATCACATGCTGTGGGGCTGGGGCCCAGGCATCAGTAGTTTTCAATAGGACTGCAGATGGTCCTAATGTAAAGCCAGTGGGGAGACGCACTGTGAAAACCTTTTAAGGACAGGAATTGAGAATTGGAGCAGCAGCAGCAGCAGCTATCAGAGATGCCAATTTCTGCTCAGCCTTGGACTGAATGGGAGAGGAATTCTATTCAGGGGCCGCCAGCTTCTGGGTGACTTTGTGAAGACGGCATTAGGAGGGAGACTTGTCTGTGACTGAATCCCTCTTGATTGTTTGGGGAGGTCTGGCAGGAGGGCCATAGCCCTAAGGGTCTGTCTTACCTGTCCTTCTGCCCTCTCTTGTTTCTAGCCCAGCGCCTGTGAGCAGGTGTCATGGTTCCCGGAATGTACCACTGAAATTCCTGACACTCAAGAAATGAGCGATTGGATGGTTGTGGGCAAGGTAGGGTTCCAGGAGCGTGCGCTCTGAACCATGGCGCTTACCTCCTCCTCTTGTTGGGAGCGGTTGTATACTTGCAGATTAAGGGCAAGGTGAACCTGACCATTCTGGCAGGAACAAGGCTGTGCCAAGAGGATCTGTCGGGGCTTTACCAATCTGCCCCTGGGAGAACATGATCCATTTATCTTTCCCCCTCCTGGTTATTTAACTTGCAAGGCAGCAGACTGCATAATGTCCATCCTCCTCCTGGATGGTTTTTGAAACAGTTGATTGTGCATCTGTATAAAATCTGGTCACTGCTAGGCACTGTTCCAAGGAGATGAAAAGACCGCTTGCAGTCCTCAGTCATCAGGGAGTGGCCACAGAGAAAGTTTGTTTAAGCTCCTTCTGGAAGACAGTGAATAAAGTGCAGAGCAACCAAATCCGCATGGTCTAGTGGAGAGTTTGCAAAGTATGTGGGTGCCCTGGGGATCCCCAAGACCCATGCAGGGGGTCTGCAAGGTGAAAGTTATTTCCGCAGTGATACACAAAGTGACTTGACTGTTCTTACTCTCATTTCCACACGCATCCAGTGAAGCTTTTGGAGGCTCTGGTAGGCTCTGTACCCGAGGTCGTTGAGCACAGAAGCAGATAGGATCTAGCCAGGCTCTGTGAAGCCAGGCATTAAAGAGATGTGTGTGGTGGGGGGGCAGGGGAACCAGGAAAAATGTTGCTGCTCTTCTCACTAATTAAAAAAAAAAAGATTTATGTTAACCTAACATATGCTTTTAAACCAGATTGAGACTTAAAAATTTTCTCCATTTTGATTTTTAAGCAGCGATATTGA